AAAAATGGGCGTTTCTGGCATGAATCATCATTTTTAGCATGAAGCGAAATATTTCATGCTCATTACGGCAAATATCACGTTGAAGCGTAGCGACGTGGCAGAAGTGGCAATTACGTGGCATGCACCCTGCACCGGTAGACTCCTAAAGCACATTGTCCTCTGCTGTGTCGTCACGCAACGCTATCGTGAGGAGTAGTATGCGTAATTACATATAATTTTTTTTTTTACACCCGATTTCAAATGAGTGCGAACTCTCGAATTTTTTTTCGGACGCTAAACTTTCACTCGACCGTCATTCACTCGACCACTTGGTAACCTGGCACAGCTTGTACAATTATCCAAGTATAAAAACCATGGTTAATGTATGTCTGTGGGCTAAATTCCTACGGTTTGTGATCGCACTACAAAACGAACTTATTGTAAAAACTAGTTTCGGTTTAACTTAACTTTCTCAGCTCACAATTACAACGAAACAGTTGAAAAATAAATAGCGTGGCAAACACTGACACTTTAAATCGCTTTTAGTGTTCGTAGGCTGTTCTTATTTTACTAGTTTACTGATTAAAATGAAGAGGTTATCGGACGATATTCGGTGGAAGGTTATTTACCATGAACTTATTTACGGTTTAAGCATTAAGGAAACTTGTAGAGCGTTATAGGGAAAACTTTTGTTTGTAAAATGCGACAACTTTATAAACGTACAGGAAATGTTGCTATACACACACATGTAAGTGTCATTGTAAACTTGTATTCAATCAATCAGGGTTTTTACAGTAATACGAATAAGAATATATTTACTTCTTCGAAAGAAGGTTACATTTAAACATAAGCTACTTCGTGTTCAACCTTTAATTTAAACAACAATGTTGCAATTATTTTTTCGATTGCTTGATAATTTTTTTTATTGTAAACTTAAATTGTTTACATAACGAAAGAAAAGAAAAATGTGTATTTTAGTTCAACATAAGAATATCTTTTCAAGATGCAGAAAACAACACCCTCAAGTTCATGGTTCTTGCAAAGCTATACCTAATTGTGCAAAGTATTATTTGCATGCATTGATGTTTACAAGTTAATAAAGCCAAATTTAAACTACAAATCATTTGACAAATAGAAAATTAAATTTTTTAATCAAGTTTAGTTGATATTCTTCTAATTGTTCTCAGTTGCATTGAGTGAAGTAGAATGTTCTGGGAAACACAAGGACCACAGGATATCTCGAACAAAGACCACCGCTTCTTCCTCTCCATAATTCTAAATGCGAAAGTCCCGCTACAGAAAGTCACGCATCACTTACTAAACACGTGTGCCTGATTACCAAGCGGTCGAGTGAATGACGGTCGAGTGAAAGTTTAGCGTTCAAAAAAAATTCCGGAGTCCGCACTCATTTGAAATCGGGTGTAATCGGCCTGATTTATTACGATCGCTAAGTGATTGGCTAATGCTGATTACAAGGAATCTGATTCGCCGAACCGTGTAAGATGATTGACAGAAGAGACGAAAAAGAACTGATCTTCTTGTATACCGTTCCGGCCTGATGGCCGAAACAACAACGTGTAAGATGTATATATGCATGGCGTCATTCAGTCAACCGTTTGATATTAGTAGTCAAAGCACGTTTAAGATGATTTAGTTAAAACAGTCGCCTGTTATTAACCTTTATGGAGTTTCCTCTGACTACCAAAGTTGGTCCATGTACAAAAAGAGAGCCATAAAACKTATAGAATACTAATTGAACTTTTCATCACACCGAATATTGGTATATGAAAGCTGTTATAAAGCAGAACTAAGCCTGGCAAAATGTACTCACCAAAGCAAACGCACCTCGCAAAGTTCCACGGCAGTGAACATACGAAGTTTTTCGTAAATCCGCAGAGATAATTGGTTCACTTTGGTTGCGAGAATTTTCGGCACTCCGATTCGCACTAATAAAGTTGCATGTTCTGCCGATCGTTTGGCAGGTCTTCCTGAGGGTCTTCCATTTGACGTCATTCTTACACATTTGCATAGATGAATGACAGGCCGGCGTTTCTCTTTTTCTATTGTTCTATTTTAAAATTCTTTTGTTATGAACTATTTGTGAGATAGTATTTTGTTATGAASTGYTMATWCTRGCAGCCAGTCYTTAYACACTATACCTGTGCATTGAGCTAATAGTTTAATATTTAATTTAGGTCCGCATTACTGAAAAAACGAACCCCCCATTTGTAAGGCAGCCTACGRGCCTCAATGACATAGTGTCGGTCCCTACTTCTAGTACTAGTCACAAAAACTAACCAAACGCTCGATTTAGAGGTATATAATGCTTTTTATCAACATTTTTCAGTCATTTCGAGGTTTTCTATAGAATAATGGACAGAATTTGAAAATTTGAATTTCCTAACCAAATATGAATGATATATAATGATATTTTCTCTGGGTCTGGCCAGCCAGTTCTGACAAATGGAAAGCTCCCTAAGCAACGAGTCGCAGACATTGATATTCCACTTTCAGTAATTCATGCACAAATATAAAAAGGACTCATTATTTGGTAAATATTCTTAAAATGCATGAGAAATTTGCCAATTTCTTGAAAAAACGGGAGATTTTACGTAATTGAAATCTTTCCGACCGCGGGAGGTACGGCCCAAAATCTTGAGAATCCCGGATTAATCGGGAGAGTTGGCAATCCCTGAAATTTTTGTTGAACACTGAATGCTGCACGGTGAAAARTTGAGAGGAAATTTAAGGCTTCGATGCTGCTTCGAGGAGAAACGATTTAGATATTAGGACCTACCTGCGCTTTGATAAAATTGAACATCGACACAACAGGCTGTATTGATTTACATAATCGCCTCCCGTTCTGATGATATCTCTTGCCCTTTTTGAAACAAAAAAACATTGTTTTGCTCCAATGTGATGCAGTGGACGAGCTTGTAGACATAACAGGAAACAATGGAGATGTTTTGTCAGAGAGAACTATAAATAAAGATTCTGTAATGTTTTAGTGTAGCATAAGAGACCTATGCATGATTATTTTATCGCGTGAGTGGACGTGCTTAGAAAACTTTAGAAAAAGCAGAGAAGGGCCTGGGTACAAGAATGGTGTTCGCGCGCGCGATCTTTGAAACGTCATAATTGAGTTGGGCAAATAAAGTCTGAGCTTGCCATCATGCTAAAAAGCGCTACGATTCTTGATAAAGGGRCTGCGAAAGCACAGACAAACAAAAATTTGCTKTTAAGCGTTAAAACTCGGTTCTACAGCATAGAAATAGAGCTACCAACAAACGAGACATGTACTATAGACCGTGTTTTCCCGTCAATGACGGTGAGAGAGCTAAAAGACATGATTGAAATTGCTACAGGCATACCTGGGTAAGTTTCTTGATGGTTATATATAGCTGTTTTAGCAAAAGTTGAGTTATAAGATAGATAGTGTACAAGTACTCCATTACCGAAATGCATTGTTGTCTAATCATCCGCCATCTTGGATCTGGCAGGCCTTGGATCTTTTTAAGTCTCATGAAAACCAAGTATTGAGGGATACATGTCAAAATGTATGACAGAAAGTCTGTGCCAAATCAATCACATTTTCAATCTAATAGTCTAACATTTTGTTTWGTGTGAATCTAAAACTATACTTGAAAACTTTTGTAGTCAATCGCCTTCTTCCGTAGTCTTGAACTGACTGCAAAAAAAGCTACGTACGGAACACCTCTCCTGAACTGAGCCCACATGCCCCCAACGAAAACATATCCTATCTGGCCTTGAAAAATCTCGTTCAGTTGGACAATCTTTTCACTATATTATGGATGATTTTTCTTTTGACTGCTATTTTTTTCCTGAAGTTACTTGCAAAGATTACGTTATCTCGACGCCTATGATTTGGAAGACGATTCTTATCTGTCACATGTCCACATTGTACCTGGAGCTACTTTACAAGTCCTTATTTGGCCGGAGTGGACACGAGTGGTAAAAGCTGCATGTGCAGGAGACTATTATGGTATGCAAGAACCTCATCAATCAGGGCATGTAGAGAAGTTGGTCGAAAAAAAGGGGGATTTGTTCGGATAAATATCAGTGGTTTCTCTGGCTCCCTCCTCCCAATTATGTCAATTATTTTTACAAAATGCTTCAATTTAGTCCTCACTGTCACGTATTCAGACTACACACGAGACAAGATGGCGGAGACTCGTTCAAATGCCATGTGCTTCTACATATTACCATATTACACAGGAAACCGAAACACTCCTGAAAAATGCATGATTCTTTGATATCGCATAAGCATCGCYACCATGCAGTCCCCAGAGCCGACAAAAGTAAGGGACGCAATTTAGAGGGGGGTGCCAACGATCTCCATTTTAAACCACCCAAATTAATGTAATACAAAAAGTGACTGATCGTTGAAGTATGAATAATCGTTTGAACTATATCAGTTAATTAAATAAGTTTCCTCTTTCTGTATGACTTGTATGATTATTTCATTACCTTTCTATGACGTCATATTGATGTCGCGTGAAGTCACAGTGAGAATGTTTTGATCACATTTTCTTAGAACTATGCATGTAAAAAGAAAGAACTTATATTTTGAGTATATAGCTATAAGTATAAGCTTTATATTTCGATATAACAACATCGATCAACATATAACATATAACAACATCGATCAATAGGCGATATGCATTATGGCGTCATTTACTACAACTACCAGAATGCTTTGCCAACTTTCTTTTGTAATGCAATTAGTGCCARTTGTTTTATTWATCTCCAAGGGGATTAAAAATCTGAATAACAATGAAAATGCTCAAGGCTCTCCGGTAGTTGTAGTAAAGTTACGTCATAATGCAAACGGCCTATTTGAGATCTGTATCAAGATCGCAATAATCATTTCACAGTCACGCATATACACCTGAGGTTTTGTGTTTTCCGCRCTTGACGTCAGATTTATTCTTTTGAAATTTGTACAATACAAAAGGAATTCAAAAGAACAAATTTGACGTCAAGTGCGGAGAACACAAAACATCGGGACTTATTAAAAGGGTGTATATAGTGGGACTCAAGATAGCGGAATTATTTGTAATACATGATAATATTCTACCAACAGAAGTTCTTTCCTGCAACATAAGGCGTCAGTCCTTGTCTATTACGGATCCCAATGGTGGAGAATTCAACGAGAAAGCCATCGTGGCTTTATATATCGCAGCACATCGAGGTCATATTCAAATGGTGTCTCGTCTCGTCGAAGAGGGCGTCGACCCTGTAGCCATGTTACCATCACAACGATCACCTATTCACGTGGCTGTTGATCGCGGTCATGTGACATGCGTCAGCATTCTGATTGGTAGGTTTAGGRCTACAAATGTTTAGAWACAATGTCTTGCGACGTCATTTTGGACGACAAAGCATGATGAGAAATGAAATCATTGCACTTTTCGTGGCCCACCAAAATAGTCCCCCAAGTTCCCATATTTGGTTTTTCGCATTTTGTAGTTCGGAACTTGTGTCGCTGCACATTGCCTGTTTTATCCATTTGAAATGTCATTAGCTTATGATTCAACTCTCATTGGTCGACAGTAGATCATGTGACTCGAGGTGCATGACACGGAGGGGTACTATTAGTCATAATACCCTCTAGAATGTGTGTAATGTGAATTACTTATGAAGACTGTCCAGTGAACCTTTGACAATTCGCGTTSGTTTCGGAGTGAAGAGAGCTGAGGTTCTTTAATTTCAACTCCGGCGGAGGAAGAATGCTTGAAAATAACATACGTTCTCTTTTCCAGGTCGTTCTCAAGGYATTGATGTCCAAAAACCACAACACGATAACGCCATTCGTAAGAGCACGTTCAACAGCGTCGCTAGTTTGCTCAAGAAAAAACGAGGATGGAAAAAGATAGTCGAACAATGGGACCATCGTAAACAACGACAAGCCGAGAAAACTAAACTACCATTCATGCCAAGGAAAGAATTCCAAAAAATAGACTCRCAGCACCATTCCTACATTGCAGGTAATCTTAAGGGACTTTCACTCAATTTTTTCATAACTSTGTTGAAGATACATACCTATCCTTCGTGCAATCACTGGAAAAAAATAGCGCACTTATGTTGTAAATTTGATGTAAATATTGTTACACCTACATAATATTTACATATCAGACTTACAACCTTTTAAGTGCGCTATTTTTTCCAATGAATCTCCCTAAATCTCCGTTCGCCCTTCTCCCCTGCAACGTTTTTGAAATAGACCTCTGAAGCAYTTACGTCATATACCGTGTACGCGATGTATTGTAGGATATGTCTGGGACAAAACATGGCGGATTTCTTTCGTTTTCTCTAGAAACTGATCCCATATTGTATTGCAAATCACGGAGGTGACGTAAAAGCTTTAGAAGTYTATTGGATTATATAACTTGTTTGCTGAATGGCGACAAGCTGCAAGTTGAGTAAAATGATTCTGTTATTAATATTCTGATTAAATMAAATTTTATTTATCTTCAGGTTCGCTAGGGAGAATCTATATGTGCAGTATTTTACAAACCGAGGCCAGAGGATGCAAGAAACAATTTACGAAGCCGTGGTACTAACTGGTCAGCTGTTATTATCCGTGGGGAATGATTATGAGACGTTTTTAAAACTACAGTTATAAAACGTCAAACGTCGAATTAGGAGAAGTCTATTCTATTAAAATTTAAAGTCTTCAATTCCAAATGTCAACTATCTGCGATTGTTTTCTTAAGTCTCTTAGTTGTAATACTAGACAAAAACATTTTCCCCTCCAATCCTCCTCGAGAAAAAACAGCCAAGACAGTTTTTAATATTTTCTATTTTTATTTTGTAATTTTATTTTTCATTTATTTCATGTTTACTCTATTACTACTGTAGTTTTATGTCTTTTCGCAAGACTTTGAGTTAACAATGGCGATGTTTCTAGTCTAGCAATTAGGAACGACGATGCAATCGTGAGACTTTCGTAACGATATTTCACGAGTTTTGAAATACTCGAGCATAATGCTGTCCCAGCGTGGAGATATTGTTGATGAATATAGCTTTGATGACTTCTTTTTGAACGATAACTGAACCTGAAACCACAACRAAGTAATCTCAAATAATCTATTTTGTTAAAAGTATAACAAAAACACAAAGTKTGTAAAGTTGAGTGCTAGAGTGAGGTTTWAATAATACGCTKAACTTCRCATGTGGTAACTGTGTTTTCCAATATGGCRGATAACACAGATTACTTTGTCATACGAAGTATTGTAAGAAGWATGCATTACKTTTGKCRMATGAGAGATGCGACGTTTAAATCAACTGCCGYACCATTGYCGAATTTTCGGCTTTWTAGTCGCAGAWTMGACTGAAGTCGTATTTATGGCARCRCTGTCGATTTTMATTGATTTATACGTCGCAYTTCACAWGCATTTCTATTCAGCACGTGTGAAATTCGGTGTAAAACCAAGACCTCATCGATGATGTTGATGATTACCATCCTGATAACAGTGATAACATCAATGATGATGACAATATTAATAATAATAATAATAATAATAATAATAATAATAATAATTTATTGATTTATATTGCGCAGTTTCAATATAAATTATCAAATGCGCATTACAATAATATAATACAAATAAAATTATGATATAATACAAATATAAAAATTTAACTACAATAAAATTTAACTACAATATCATTATGATAACGATGTGACTATAAAATAACGATAGTACAGCAAAAATATGGTGGCTACCATGCGTACCTTGCTTCCACCGCAGCTCGTCATTYTGAGGGTTCACCTGTGGCGGGCATTCCTATAAAATGCAAGTTGTATTACTAACTTATTGTCGCGGTTGTGGAGTAATAATGCGTGACATATATGACCATGTATGGTGACATCGTGACAAGTGTAACGCAATCATACCTTCAGTACTTTCCACATCGTATTGATAACTGCGAATATTTCTTTGGGGGATAAAAGATGAAGAACGCCACCAATGCGTGACAGAGGCGCGGGCAGCCAGTCACTCTTTATGAAAATAATTACAATAACCGTGTTAAAAATAACAATAAACATGAACAAAACAGAAAATGTCGCAGAGGAGAGCAGAACAGAGCAGAGCAACAGAATATAGAAGGTAGCAAATCTAAAATATCAAATCATGTACCTCCACCATCACTTGCATAATGTACTGCGTGTCACGGAAGAGTTCTGAAGATTGCGTTACCATTTTGTCACGACATACTTCCCAGCTGGACATCACGGTAGCAAGTAAGCTCGACAACAATGGAGCACATTTACACAACGATGACGCTCCTGCAATTCCAATTATCTCAGTTATTGACCAAATAAACTATTTTTTTTTTWATTTTATGAGATTTGAGTAATTCTGAGTCCGTGATTTGCACTTCCACACGTCTCCGGATTCAAWTTTTTATCGAATTCCCTTGGACGGAAGTAGCCTCGTCTGAAAATCAGGCTKGRATGRAAGGTGCAAACACAAAGAAATGTTTTCAAATTCAAACATATATTGACACGTGATGGCGACGCCTCCTAGATGTATGCGTAGGAAATTTCCAGGTGTTTATTTTTTATGACATTCGTTGTTTATTATTATTGAAGTTGGGCTCCCTGTGGTTTACCTTGAGACACAAGCAGGAGTAGCCACCATAAGACTGGGTTCCTGTCAAACGTGTTTCGTATTCTAAGATCCCTGGAAACAAAAAAGCTATAAATTTATATGATATTTAATGTGTAGAAGAAATGTGTAGGGAAAGGGGGAAGGAAGAGGAGAGGGAGGGCCTGTTAAAAGCCTACTATAATTCAACTGCCCTTTCTACCTTTCAACATTGAACTTAAGTGTTTCTTCATCTGGCCATTCTCCAGTATACAGCACCATCTCAGGACAAACCATTTCCATCAGAAGCAAAGCCACTTGATCTGTGTTTGATGTTATAATATGACTTTCTTCAGCAGTGTCACTCCTACAMAGGGTTACCAACGTATCCATGTAGACCTGACTGCTTGGTAACCATGCCTGCGGCAAATGCATTGTGGGTTACTACAATCTTCCTAGGTATGTAACTGCAATGTTTGAAAGCTAACTGCTACTTTTGGTGCTTTTGGTACTGTCAATCTAAAGTCAGAACTTAATCAAGTTACTTTGAGATTGATCCCTAAATTGGGAGTGGCCTCAAACAGATAGAATTCCAGGTTTCTGTTAAATGCTCTTTTTCAGTTTTGAGTGTCTCAAACAGTAACGAAATGATTGATAATCGGTAACTTTAATTCTCAAGCGAGAAGAAGAAAACAYGACCTGACGAAGTTGACCAAAATGGCAATGGAACGTAGTTGGAAAAACACTGAACTAGGTGAGCTGAATAGCTCAAGTAGCCAAAACAATATTAATGAAATGGTGGGAAGCATTCAGCCATATTTGAGTTTGCATATTTACAAAAATTGCAAATATTAAAAGGTAAAATGTGGTTTGTTTCTACAATGACAAACAATCACAATACTTCTCACCTGACTTGGTTTGTCATCTTGTTTTTTAGGAATTCCATTTCTGTTCTTGTTCCCAATCACCCCAGTAAAAAACAGTGATGAGGGACTGAGCGCTAGTCGTGAGGAAATATGGGGATTCTGGTTGTACTCRAGYAGCGAGGCTTGATTACTTTGCTGWATTTTGCTTTTGTCTTTTTCTGTTGACAAARTGAYGCACAAGAATTGTTAAGCCTGGTTTAAACTAGAAATAACAAGTTTCACAAAGTTCCTTATATATAGCCCTACAGAGAGAATCTGACTTGTTACATGTTTATACCAAATGGACTAAAGTAGAAGGATTACACTCTACCTTGTGGCTTTGCACCCAACAACTGGATATTCTCCTGTATAAAAAAAGATTACAACTTAGTAAACATAATAAAAAAATTGACTGTTGGGCGTAATAATCATTATAAACCTTCCAGAAAAGAATGTCCAAAAAATGACAACCTATTCCAGAGCAGATGTGGAAGCCAAAAAAACATACCAGACACTATTCTGTAGTAACAAATAGTTCAAAAGCACAGTGTGAATAACAACTTGAGGTATTCAATGCCGATGCATGAAAGAAAATTGAAAATGAAGAGAACTTGCCTTTTCAAGAGTACTTTCAACTAGAATTCTTATCAGTAACAATCTACAGTCTTCATCTTTTGATAATCTTGTTAGCATCTTTGTGCAAAGTTTGATTCTTTCCATTATATCTGTCAAATATAAAGAAAGTGCTAAAACAGGTTTTACAGACTGGATAAACTGGTTCTAACAGCCATGATTAATTCTCATTTGTGTGGGTCCTAAAACAAGTTTGAACATACTGGATAAACTGATAAACCTGTTTGTAAAACAAGTTTTTGTGTATCTGCAGAATTCAGTGCCTTAATTCATTCATGCTTTTCCTAAAATTCACATTTTTTTACCTGAAGAACATGTTTCTACTTCCACCAATTCTCTGAGCTGTTTGAACAGAAATGAAGTAACATTTCTGCAAATGTTGTTTTTCAACGATACTGTAGGGAAGATGTCCTGTTCATATGCTAGTAACAGTGACAGTGTTTTGGACGCTACGGGATTGTTGGAGTGGCTAAGGAGAGGGATTAGGTTTGCAGTGTGTACTAGTAGCATATCTGTGATTTGACACCTGAAAAATTTAAAAAGGAAAAACAAATGAAAAAGAAATGAATGAATAAGTGAACGAGTGAGCATAGGTGCCAAGGTAGGGAGAGCTAGGAAAGCTAGAGCCACTAGGTTTTTTTTTTAAACCAAAATAATACATCTAGTATTGAGCCTCAACACCCAGTAAATAAGCAGCTGAAATGACAAAATGTGTCCAAAAAATACTTTGCAACCTATCAACCCTTAAATAAGGACGCCCTTTTTACATACATGTTTATGAAATTGAGTGCCTCTTTTGTGTACATGCAGGAGGTAACTATTATTTAGTCTTAGAAGAAATAGTACTGCATTCTTTTTCATACCTTGGAGCTTGGAATACTCCATTTTTCTCTGCTAAGATAAGCTGATGTATATTGTCAAGAATATTCTTCACCTATAAAAAACATGGATGGAAGAGAATAAAAATAAGAAAAAGAATAGTGTGAGATGGGAAGAAAGAGAAGTCAAGAAAAAAGGAGGGAGAGTATAAAAAATGTTACCTCTAACAGGAAAATGTGTTAATTAAAGTCCATTTTAACAGTCATTGATGCTTTATTCAAGACAGCTAATGCTTGTTGAAGCATCAAGAAAAACACTTTCCTCTGTAAAATGTTTAATGCTTTTCCAAAGCAGGGAGTSAAAAWAGGATGKATGGRAAAGAATAGAAGAAAAGCTTACCATCAAAGGCTTGGCAGTTGCACTGGAACAGTTCACTGACATSAAGCATTTCTTAGTAGTTTCTTGCAACACATGGGGATAATAAAACTCTACTTCACATTGCATTTGTACAAAAAGATTCAAAGATTCATTGGTTTTACTATGGGYTAAGATGAAATTCAAAATCTGTATTGCTGTGGTTTCTCCACTGTGGACACAAACAAGAACCAGCATACGGAAAATCCATCCAAGCCTGTAACCAAAGAATACTACATGTAATTAGAGCATCAATGACATTTAGAAAAGAGGTCTGAGAGAGGGAACAACATCTCAAATGCCACTAAGTTTTCCTTTCTTTTTACAGTGTACAGCTTATCATGATCAGCAGGGAAGAAAAAGAGGGTTAGGGATGGAGGCAGGGGAAAAGGGTGTAGGGAAAGAGGGAAGAAGGAACGAAGGGAGAAAGAATTGACAGATAAAGGAAGGGAGAAATCGAGAAAGGAAATGATGGAGGAAAAAAGGAGGAATTGAGGGAAGCAGAATGGATAGACAAAAGGAAGGAAGAAAGCAGAAAAAGAGAAGATTTATTACCTTGAAATGAATGAATGAAATACAGGATAAATGAATAAAAGAATGTGTGTAATAAATTTAGAATAAAGGAATATTCACAAACCTTTTGCCCTGGGCTTGGAGCAATAGTTTAGTAAGTTGAACAGCATATGAAGACATCTCCAGTAAAAATGCACTCTCTGTAGARGTGGAGACAAGTGGTGCAATGGCWGCTTTTTGAGTAAAMAGTTTATGTCTCTGGCTGATCACATCCTGTAGCTTCATCAATAAACCTTCCTGAAGTAAAAGATTATAGATTATAGTTATAGCATGATTGTGGACTAAAAGGCGGTCCATTATAATCTGATTGTGGACTAAAAGGCAGTCCATTATAATCTGATTGTGGACTAAAAGGCAGTCCATTATAATCTGATTGTGGACTAAAAGGCAGTCCATTATAATCTGAAAGAAAGCCCTACCATTACATAGGAACATGCTTTTTGAACTTCAAGATTGGCAGTAGGTATGTCCATCTTATCTGAGATCAAAGACAATCACAAAATCATAAAAAAGCAAGCAAACAAGCAAGTATGCAAGCAAGCAACTAAGCAATCTATTAACATTTTTTTCATATGACAAATATTATTATACTTGCTTCTACTTTTTCAGAAAATTGTACATGTACTACAGTTGACAATTCTTGACTTCAAACCTTATAGCCATACCTTGGTCTTCTTGAGGGGTACAGTTATCCAGTATAAAACAGAATATAGTGTAAGCTCCTGTTTCTATGTTGGTTATAATATCCACAAGTGCTGGGATTAAGCTAGAAAAAAAGGAAAATTTGTATAAACATTGACTTTGGTAATTTTTAGCACTGTGTTCTAGTTCAAATATTGATTCATACTGTTATGAATTGCTAARACAAGGAGCACAAGGARTTWTGTTMTGYTATGTTTTCTATGCTTATGGTGGAGGTGACTATTCAATCTTTACCTTGACTGCTTATGATAAACAGTTGACCTGAGAATTGACTGGTCATAGAGTTGTACTAGTACACCAGGAGATACTACAAAAGACAAAACATCAATAATGTACACTGTACAACAAGGAGATCAGAGATTCTAACACACAACTCATTGCAAATGTTTGACTTTAGGATGGTGGAAGGAGGAAAACAGGCATACATGTATATAAAGCAAGTGAAGAAAACAATTAGGGAAAGAACCAGCTTACAAACACAAACCACAGCCAGAATGAAACGTGGACCATAGTACTGAAAGCTTAGCATTTTATTGTAGCTACTGAACATCCCTTGCTACTGATACCTCACAATAACGTATAAACAAGTCAAAGGTGGTAAGCATGCTGTACACTTACAGACTTCCACAAAGTCAGTTAAAGTTCCCTTGAGCAGCTCAGGAGACAGAGATGCAATGTGTAGAAGAAATGGTATTGTGGCTAGCTGTTCTCTTTTGTCCTTGTCACCCTTTGTTTCTTGTGCAAGACTTGCCTGAAGATAAAATGGTTATTGTTGTAATATGAAACTAGTAGCATCATCTAGAGAGATGTTATTGATATTGTTTAAAACACTACAGCTTTGTTTAATTTTAAATGTGTTGGGCTTTTTTACTTTGATCTGCATCTAGATTAGTCTGTGCTATGGAATCCTCAAGGCTTTGAAAATGTCTATGTATACATTAATTGTAAGACTGTGAGGTTTGTGTGTACTTACATGAAACAAAGCCAAAAGATTTGTCTTAATTTCAGCTGCAAATTGGATAGACAAATACCCCAAGACTTGGACAATAGTTGAGACTAATAAAGACTTTTCTTCACTCTCATCTCCCAGAGTCTTAGCATAGTCTCTCAAGGCAGTGTTTAGAAGTTTCTTGATAATAATATCGTGAAAGTGGGATACAATATGTGCAACAACCCAATCAAGGTGTGGTGAGTACTTCATGGAGATTTGYAATAGTGCTTCCATACAGTTATCTGGATCAGTAACCACACTATAAACATAMGGAAAATGAATATTTCATGAYGTCAAGACTGTTTCCCACCCCTCCCSTGTGGGARAAGGGATAGGGAACATTWGTACAAAAACTCTRTTGTGACACCAAGGAAGCTTCATCTTAGGYGAAAACAAAAGAGCTTTTCTATCACAAGCAAGAATYCATTGTTWTGTTTCCCARGTGGAGTTTRTAAGACCCAGGCTACACACAGGCAGCCCAACCATTAATGGTGTTTCTCAATGAATGWTGTGGCTGTCKRTGTGCTAYAACTTACAGTTTTGAGCAACACAATGTGCCTATTCCCATCAACATYTGAACTGGAGGAAACAGCATCCACTTATGAAAGCCCTCACTGAATGACAATGTGAGACTGACACCTCTTTTTTGGTCGAATTTGGATATCAAGTCACCAAGCAAGTTCAGACACCACTAAAGAAATATGAAAGTGATAGAAGTTAATTTTAGTCACCCTAAGAGCATTATCAACTAGAATAATGGCAAAACAAGTTTGGGATGATTGGGACGATCATATTGAACATAATTAATCCTAAGAAACGAAGGAATTATCATAATGTATCACCTAGATTTTGTACAATAAAAGTTTCACAGTTTACATATGAGAGCACTATATAGAGCCCTATTTTGTATTATTTATGATTAATACCTCACAAATAAGTAGAGCCCATGATGATGGATTGGTATTGACAAATTCACTCACAACATCACAGATACTATGTAAAGCATTGTCAAGGTCTGCATCTACAACTTCTGGTAAACTCCCAGACCCTGAATCAGTAATAAAATTGCACAATAACTTTAATAATAAAAAACAACAATGACTGAGAAACTTGTGGAAAGGCACAGGTAGCCCGAAAACGCCAATTTGAGGACTAATAATGGCAATATGTACTCGGTTTAAAACATACACTTTCTCGAAGGCTAAGTTAATGATAATTAATTTTCTGCCGATCAATACCTCCAAGTTGTGCTTTTCTTTCCATTTCGACCATAAATTTGTTCATCGATTCGTGGAACGCTCCACAAAGCTGCTCCAATACAGCATGCCTGGCACACGGAAGGGACTGAAGCAAAACTATAGCGCATTGTATCTTATCAATGCTGCTCACAGTTGAAGGCGGCTTGCTCTCCCCACACCCTGACAGAAAGGCGTTCAAATTCTCCAAAATATCCTGAAATGGAACRCGAGAAATTTAGATGCTTTTCTTAGTAAAAYACATGATTAACGAAGCAAAGTGTCCACTTAATTCGTAATTTGCAATKTACTTTGTATTACAGTGTTCATAAGTTAAAGTATGCACGTGTTTTTCAAACAGAAATGACTATTTTTCATACCTTTTCTTGTGTCTCTCCTCCACTTGCGTCCGCCATCTTGGACAACTAGTTCCCAGTACGACATGGACAAAAACTACAAAGGAGGTCCAATAGTCTTTAAAAATAAAAATAAAAATGTTTTTAAATCTGCGTTTACGACGTTTGCATTTTTTTTTTCAAAAAATACGTTTTATTTTTTTCATATGGACACGTAAACTAGACCTAAACCAGACAAACCAGGCTAGTCGAAAATCGGGTTGTCGATGCTAAATAATACATGGGCTTCCTGTGTCGATACCTCGTGATGCAAACATGGCGTGCAAGAAAGTGTTTTCGTTGAAATTTTCCCCTTAAAATGCAATCTTTTTAAGACTTAAAGATGTTTAGGTAGTCCCATTGAACGTGTAAGCAAATCAACAATGTTTGGAGGCAAAAGAACCCTTGTTTTTGTTCTGCTATCCGTCGGAGCAGGAGGTTTACTTTGGTTGAGCGCAGTTTACTTCCGACGAAAACGAAGGCAACGAACTGCAGCCATAGCTGAGAGTGATTTACAGGCTGAACAGAACGAGGAAAAACCTAGGGGAACCTCCCGCAAAATACCAGGTTAGTAAAATTCCGTTTAAGACGAAATCTCAGATATCAGCTGCTTTTAATAATAGCTAAAGTAGCCTTTAAAATAGCACGCGAGTGAACGCATGAACAATTTCTTTAATTCTCTTTCATTTCAATCGTTGTGAGTCTTGCAATTTGCTTTCTGTGCAAAAAATTAAACTTACTGGGCCATAACATTGAACAAAATGTCGAGGAAATCTTATGATTGTTGAGCTTGCCTTGAATTTATTTTGATTGTGCATGATAATAAGCTTATTAAGCTTACTTATATTTTAGTTTTCGTAATAAGCTTATAACTTAAGTTAATGTATTCATCTGATAAACAAATTTTACTGCGAATTATCATAGATTTATATGCACTGTGTCTGCCAATTTCGTATTTGCATGTTGGATAAGGAAAGACTTTGCTAGATTAAAGTATTTCAGGTGGCAATTAAAAAGATTTTAAAGGTGTTACTTTTACCACAAAACAAGTCACCAAGAGTTCCAGCTGTCTTGA